CAGCCATGGAAATCAATAGGGGCCGGCCGCGGTGCTGCAGCTCAGCCGGGAGCCCCGGGGCCGCTGCCGCGCTCGGGGATGGAGCTGGGCTGGAGCCGGGGCTGGTGCCGCGCTGCTGCCAGCACCGGCAGCTGGCTGGGAGGAGCGATCCCGGAGCCCAGGGAGCCTTCGCAGCCAGGCACAGGCCGGGGCATGGAGCGCTGCCAGCCGGGAGCAACACTGCGGGGCCCTTCCCGTCCTTCTCCCCACCGCCTCTGCGGCTGCTCAGCTCTTTTCTCTGCAAACGGGGCTGGGAGCTTTTCCCCTCAGCCCTGCAAGGGGCCACTCCAGAGCCCTCCGCTCCAGGGGCCGGGCTGGGAGCTCACGGGGCACTGGGCACTGGCCTTGAGATGGAATTTCCAGTGATCCTCCCAAGGGAATTCACACCCTACAACAAACAGATGCAACGCACAAGGGAGAAGGAAAAGTTTCCTGGGTTTTAAAAAAACACTCAGTAACAGCGAGTGAGGGCAATACATTATTTAAAGGCTTTTCCAAGGAAAGAAAATAATTTCAGCTTAGTTAGCTTTTTAGGACACGGTAGCAGGGAGCGGGGAGCGCGGCGCTGCGGGGCGATGCGCAGAGCCCGCGGCCAAAGGGCACCGGCACCGCGGGCCCGGCCCCGGGCACGGCACGGGGACGACACGGGGACACGGGGACACGGGGACGACACGGGGACACGGGGACACGGGGGCGACACGGGGACGACACGGGGACACGGAGCCCAGCTCCGTGCTGGGTGCGAGGCCAGGCGCTGTGGGACGCGCTGTGATGGAGGGTGCGGCACGGCAGCTCTGTGGTGCGGGCACGCTGATAAATTAGGTGTCAGCGGCGTTAATCCAGAGCCATTAGCCATGCTGAACGTCCGCATATCATTTGTTAAACTAATGGATCGCTGGAGGTCATTCGGTAATAAGAAAGGGAGAGGAGGGTTATTAGTTTTTATCAGACATTAATTGGCCAAAATCGATTGCTTGTTTGGTGTCTGCAGTGCTGCGTTTCCCCCAGCAGCCCCCGCCCGGCGGAGCGGCACCGGCAGAGCCCGGCCCGGGCCGGCACAGCCCCGGCGGCGGCGCTGCCTGGGCCGGACCTGGGGCGCATCTCGGGCCGGCCCTGGGGCGGACCTCGGCCCGATCTCGGCCCGATCTCGGGGGGATCTCGGGCGGATTTCGGGCCGGATCTCGGGCGGATCTCGGGCCGCATCTCGGGCCGCTGCCGTCGCGAGCGGCTCCGGCTGAGCGCATCTCGGCCCCGGAGCAGCCGCAGCCCCTCCAGGGCAGCGCCAGCAGCCGCGGACCCGCAGTCCCCACCTTGCCCCATCCCTCCAAGCTCCCCCGGCTGCGGCTCGGAGGAGCAGAAATGAGCTGGGAACCACTCAGGTGATGTCACATTTATCTAACAAGTTTCCAAATGAAAACTAGCATTTGGACTTACTGCATTCAGGCTCAAAATTTGATTACATTTTTCTACAGCTGTAAATCTGCTTTCCTTTCTGCAACATTATTATTAAAGCCAGTATTGAATTGGTGATGTGATACGTAAAATTTCAATCCTGGCTTTGACATTCCAGGAAGTTAAAAACCAATTACAGTGTGTGCTTTGCCTCAGGACAGAATGAATCATTGAACACAGCCACTTCACCGAGAGAAATTAAAGGCTGAAGCAGCAACATGGGGAAGGTATTACGTTAAAAATCAAAGGTCAATTAAAGAAAAACTGAGTCTATTTTATTTTTACTATTTTGCTTACATTTTCATTCCTTTCTGATGAGCAGGGAGACAAAATAAACCTGCACTCGTATTTATCTGCCAGGTAATAAATCCGGGCTGAAGCTGGTTTCAGGAGCTGAGGGGAAACATTGAGGTGATAAAAACTCCCAATAACCAGCATTAATCTCGCTGTAACGAAGCCAGCACAGCAATAGGGCAGCCCCTGCCCTCCCTGCAGTGGTGGCCGCCCCCGCAGCAGAGAAGGGGTACCCAGGGGACAATGTCCAGTCGCGGTCACTCTGAGCCCACAGGGCCCCCTTTTGGCCCAGCTTGGCTGTGCCACACGGGGACGGGCTGCAGAAGGTGTGAAAGGGGGTGCAGGCAGACCCCGGAGGGCAAAGAGCTTCGTGCCCCGCAGCCAGCGCCTTCCTGGGCACCGCGGCCCCCGCCGGGTCACGGACGGGGCAGCACCGCAGCTCCCGGGGCAGACCGGCCCTGCAATACAAATCACCGGAGAAGGCAGTGAAGCAGCTGCCCAGCCGCCTCCCTGAGAGCTGCAGAGGCGATGCCACAGCCCATGAGCCATCCAGCACTGGGGGAAGCCGCCACCGGGTTCCGAACTCCCAACCAGGCACGACAGGAGCTCTGGGCCGCGGCAGGACCGGTGCCACCGGCCAGGGCCAGGTGTTCAGCGCTGTCCCGAGGGCACTGAGCTGTCTCCAAGCTGCGGCAGGAGGTGCTGACCCCTCCTGCCACTCAACAGATCGCTCGTACTTGCCTCGCTCGGCAGCAGCTTGTCATCGCCGATGCCTTCAACATGAGCTCTAATAGATAATCCACACCTTGAAATGCAGTCTATCATCTGCTCGTTACCCTCAATAAATCATTCGCAAAGTATTAAAGTGCTTCAAGACCGTCCTGGGGGCTCCGGGAGTTGCTTTGCAGCGCTCACACTCCGGAGCAGAGGGAGCGGGGCGTTATTCACAGTCTGGAGCACAGAGCGGCGGGGCGGGCCCCCGGCCCCATTGCCACTGCCAACACAACCTGAGCCCAGCTCTGGGAACTCATCAGGGCTGCTGGGAAACGCAGCCGCCCTCCAGGGAGCCGGGTCCACAAGATTAAAAACGGGAGCGTTCTGCGGAGTGCCCGCATCCATGCGGAGTGCGCGCCGCAGGGACACAGCGAGCTAATGTATTCCCAGACAATTTAGACTCATTTCAATAAAACCACAATTAGATGGCAGCAAATGGCGGGGAGAGCAGCTGTTACAGCGCCGGGACACCCAACACAACACGCCCTGGCGCTGCGTGACACAGACAGGGCAGAGCGACCGTCTGCAGGCTGGGAGGCAGGGCTGGAGCCGGGCTGGGAGTCAGGGATGCTCGGGAGCTGGGCTGGGGGAGCTGGGCTGGGATTAAGGGGATGCTCGGGAGCTCCTGCCGGGATGGAGCTGGGCTGGGAGTGAGGGATGCTCGGGAGCTCCTGCCGGGCTGGGATTAAGGGGATGCTCGGGAGCTCCTGTCGGGCTGGAGCCGGGCTGGGATTAAGGGGATGCTCGGGAGCTCCTGCCGGGCTGGAGCTGGGCTGGGATTAAGGGGATGCTCGGGAGCTCCTGCCGGGCTGGAGCTGGGCTGGGATTAAAGGGATGCTCGGGAGCTCCTGCGGGGGCTGGAGCTGGGCTGGGATTAAAGGGATGCTCGGGAGCTCCTGCGGGGGCTGGAGCCGGGCTGGGAGTGAGGGATGCTCGGGAGCTCCTGCCGGGCTGGGATTAAAGGGATGCTCGGGAGCTCCTGCCGGGATGGAGCTGGGCTGGGAGTGCCAGGTGCCCCCTGTTCCCAGGGCCCTGCTCCCCAAGGACCCCACGCCCCCAAAGCTGCAGGAACTTCCCAGCTGGGTGAAGGCCCACAGGTCTGGGAATCCACAAGCAGCCTCAGTTCACAAAGCCACCAGCACCCATCACCAGGGGAGAGCCCCAGGGGCTGGGGGAACTGTGCAGGGACATGTGAAAGGGTTGGGGAGGTTGCCAGCACCAGAGCCCTTCACTGCCAGCAGTCTCCTGCAGCCCCAGCCCAGCCTGCTGCCCACCAGCTCCTGTCACACACAGCAGAGACCAAGCTCCAGGCAGGAGGGGACACATCATGGACCCAGGTCCTGTGGGGTCAGGGGAGCCCAGCCAGACCCTCAGCCACCATGGGAAGGGGCACAGGAGACCAAAAAGGAGAGCCCCACATCTTCAAAAGCCCCTCAGGCCTCCCCTGCCCACAAGGCTGCCCAGCCCAAAGGGCTTCTAAAGGTCCCTTTCCCCAAGAGCCCCTGTTCCCCTGACCGGGGGACCCACTGTAAAATGGTAAACCCACCTTGGAATCAGGCTCTGGCTGATGTTGCCATTTCTTCTCAAAGGCTGGGTTTTTGCTCTACGATGGACTAGTTTTATGTTCCCATAAATTGCCAACAGTTAGCCAGATCCCCACAGAGCCAGGATCGATACCTGGCTGGGGGGAAAAAGTGCTGAGGAAGGAAAAGCAATACTCCAATTAGAGGAAAATTTAGGAGTCCAGGGGTAGGGGTGACAGTGCCTAACGTGTTACAATTTATTGACAGCCTCCCAAAGCCTGGTTTGTTCTGGCTCTCAGAGGCAGGCAGGCGTCCCACCAGCAGCAGCAGGGACTCACACACCCACTCTGCACCCTCAGTCCCGACTGGCACAACCAGGGCCCATTGCTGTGTGGTTTGGCACCTCCAGCCAAACACAGGCTGTTCTTGGCTCCTCTGGTTCACCCATCAGCAGGGCAGCTCTGCTGGCAGCACCACCCTGCAGCCCATGGGACAGTGACAGCCGGCCCGGCCCTGGGGGCACAGGGCCAAGGAAACACCTCAGGGACACACGGCCTCCCCAGGGTGTCAGAGCCCTTGCCCAGCTCTGCATGGTCCAATCCCAGTTAAACACAGCATAATCCCAGCCTGGGAGCGCCAGCTGGGAGCCCCAGCCCCGGGCTCCCCTCCCGAGCCACTCTAAGCATTGCTGAGTCCTGCCCTGCCCCGGGTGCTGCCCACGGAGCCTCAGAGCGGGAGGCAGCACAACTGAGCACTCCAAAGCTCCCAGGTGTTCTACAGGGACCTCACACCCCCCTCCCAGGATGGCAGTGGGCTCACTGTTAAATCCTGTGGCCAGAAAACCCAGCTGGATTGGAGAAATGTTGGCAAATACAATAAACACAAGTACATTAACTCTAATTCTGCGAAGCCTTCGGCTATATTAATCTCTCTTTAATGTAATCACCTATAAATAAATGATGACCCCATGATTTAATATGACATCTGCCATCCCCATTTCCACACAAGCTGTGAAGCAGTGCCTCTGGTACACGGTAGGGGTGGGACTCGTGTGCCTGGTCGGCCAGGGCAGCAGCAGCTCCTCAGCTCAGCACCCAGGGCTCAGCTCCAGCTCACCACTCCCAGCAGGATGGATGGAAACGCAGACCAAGGCTCCCTGGCAGGGGCCATGCATCCCCCAAGGACCCTGTGGGCAAGGGGCAATGCAGCACAGCTGTTGATGAGCACACCAACATCACCACCTCTGTAACCACCACCAGGCAAGGGGACAGGACAACCCATCTGGGGATTTGGGGAACAGGGGGAGTCACTGACAACTTCCCCTTTGGTGAGCACTGAAGGGCATGGGGGTGATAATGCTGCTCACCTGTGCAACAGTCCCCTCCTGCAAAAATATGCACAGAGGAGGAAAAAGAACCCTTGAGGATCAAAAATCGTGTTGAAAGGTGAGTTTGTTATGCCCAAGCCAGCCCCTGATGCACTGAGGGCTCACTGGAGCAGGAGGATCCCAGTCCACAGCAGAAAGGGCTGCAGGCACAGGCTGGGGGCACATCATCTTCCATCCTTCGGCCCAGAGGAGACCCTGGGTGGCCCAATCTGTGCCCCCTTTGCCCCGAGACTGGGGCAGCTCTCCCAGCCCTGCGGGGTTGCCGCAAGCAATCCACCAAGGACAGAGGTTTCCATTCAGCACCAGGACAGGCAGCCTGTCCTCCTCCTGCCTTGCTCCATCCTCCTCCTCGCTGGGCTCAGGGGTGGCAGCAGGAGCAGCCCATCCTCATCTCCTCCGCATCGGGAGCCACCGCTGCACACCCTGCTAAAGGACAAATGATCTTTAATTAGGACAGAGCTGGAGGAGCTTCAAGCCTCCCGTGTCTGGTGAGGGCAGAAGCCCCTGAGGCCACCCCAGCCCTCAATACCTCTGGCCATGTTGCAGTCAGGGCTGGCCTGAGGGTCTCCTGGACACGTGGGGACTGGCTGGGGGTCTCCTGGCCCCAAATACCACAGGACCTGGGGCCATGTGTCCCCCCTGTGGGGAGCTTGGCCTCACTGCCGTGGGTGGCAGAGGCATGGGCAGGGCTGGGAGTGGCAGGGACTGCTCTGGCACTGAGCAGCCCCTTCACATGGGGGGCTGAGACACGAGGGATGGATGGATGGATGGATGGATGGATGGATGGATGGATGGATGGATGGATGGATGGATGGATGGATGGATGGATGGGTGGAGGGATGGATGGGTGGATGGATGGATGGATGGATGGGTGGAGGGAGGGATGGAGGGAGGGATGGAGGGAGGGATGGAGGGAGGGATGGAGGGAGGGAGGGATGGGTGGATGGATGGGTGGATGGATGGACGGAGGGATGGAGGGATGGATGGAGGGATGGATGATTGATGGATGGATGGATGGATGGACGGACAGGGAGCACTCCCAGCTCAGCCTGAGCAGGTGTGAGCCCTCCAGCACCAAAGGGGAACCTGAGCACATCCCCCTGCCCCGGGGCTCAGGGCCCAACTCACCTGCACGTGGCTCTGGTGCAGGTCCCACACCCCTCCGGGCAGAGCAGCGCTGGGCTGAGGGTCTGTGGAGAGAGAAGCATCAGGAACAGCACAGGGGCAGCAGGAGCCCTCCCCTCCCCTCCCCAGCACGCAGGCTGTGCCCAAGCCAGGCTCTGGGGCTGGGGTCCCCAGGGGAGCCCTGGGGCACACGGGGCAGCTCCCGTGCCCCCGCCCTGGGCCCGGAGCAGGCAGGGCAGGAACACAGCAAGGCTGAAGCTGCAGCCTGGAAAAACGCTCACTCAGGCAGGATGCCTAGTAATAAATTTATTGTATTTTATTACATATTCCCCTTTTTGCATTTAATTCCAATTCCTCATATTCAAACTCTTCTTTCTGAAAGAAAATGATTTTCAACATAAAAATATAAATTCTGCATATTAAAAGTGCATACACCTCGAATAATAAAACATACAAATAAATAATAAAAGGCATTGACACAGTCTCATGCAGTTGTCCTCAAATAATTTAAAATTTATGGTACAATGTTCAACCCCAAGTAGACAGCCTGCTTTCCAATTACTGTACAGGTCAAAAACATTAAAATACAGAGGAGAATATCAAAGGTGTGGGAAAGCCCCACGTCCCTGTACCAGGTACAGTGATGTGACATGCAGTTTGAGAACTGTAGATATTCCAGTGTAAAATCTGACATTGTGTCCAGAAGAGAAATTGCATTTGCAACAGGACTTAAAATTCAATTTTAACCAATGGTGAGGCACAGGTGGTGAGCAAATCTGTACAAATTCATACCTGGAAGGCCACAGGACAATAAAGGAGCCACTGGTGGCCTGGATTCCCTTGTGTTACCCTACCCAAGGCAGTGTAGCACCTCCAAAGGGGTTATTGCACTCACAATGGCACACGGGCCTGAGGCCAGCACGCGTGCACTGCAGGGCTGAGTGAGCCGGGACTGGTGGTTACACTTAGTTTTAATCTGTGTCTTTTAAAAAACACTATTTGCAGATAAATTGAGTGCTATCACCTTTTAAAAAATAGAGTCCCTAAGCCTTCAGGTCTAACAGAGACATTGTACAAGTCTTCAGGTGCTTTTCTTCTACAAAATAAAGCTCTTAACAGTAACTGCTTTACGATGCTTTTGTTGAGAAAACCATGTAGGACTTTCATCTCACCACAGATTAAAACTAAATTTCAGTTCCCTCCACAGGTATCATTAGATACTGCCAAATTCTTTTGGATTAGTAGGCAAATGACAAAGATTAAAAAAATCCAAACCAAACTAAAATTAAAAAAAAAAAAAAAAACAAAACCAAAACCACAACACCACCCAACAGTGAAATTATTTGGAATGTTGTTTCCACACCCTCTCCATGCCAGCTGACCAAGAGGAGGGCACCAAAGCTGCAAGAACCAGGAGGAGTCCTGGGACCTGCAGGAAGCCCAGGGAGCTGCCCTGGCCATGCAGCACCCAGGGCTGCCCCGCAGGACACGGCTCCAAGCCCAGCACCAGGGCACTCTGAGCACGGCCAGGCAGCCCAGGGGCTCCCCCAGAGACAGCAAAGCCCAGGAGCAGCCTGGGCAGCAGGGAACAGCTCCCCTGCCAAGGGCACCCACAGCAGCTCTGTGTGCCCCGGGCACCAGCCTGCCCTGCTCACAGCCCCTCACACCGCATGCAATGCCAGGCTGCACGCAGAACCCCGAGCAGCTCGCCCTGCTAACAAAAGGAAAAACAACACAAAAGAGAAATCAGTTTGTTCTCATTTCCCTGCTCCAATCCCTCTAACCTTACGTTACGCTGCAGCCTTGTCAGTAACGCAGAATCCTGCAAAGGAAAGAGCCAGAGATGTGCAAAGGAAGCAGAACCCAGGGACATGCTCCTGTGTGCCAGCAGCAGCCGCGCCGAGGCCAGCACAGGCTCCAAGCCTGCTCCAGAGCCACGGCTGGGCTAGAGGCTTGCATAGTTAGTAGGGACATGCAGGGGACAGCAGGGCCATGCAGGCTGCCTCACACCGAGGACAAGGGCTGGGCATGCTCCAGTTTCAGCTTCAGAAAGCAAAACCCCTGCAGCGACGGCGGATGAGGGCACTTGCAGTGGGAGAAGTGCAATTAAGCTGCTAGCTTTCTATCCTAAGCATCTTGTTTTTATTAATCCGTATTTGCTAAGTGTGAAAGGGTTAACAATTTACACACCCAAAGTGAGACACAAGTTACAGAGAACTGCAGGCACCAAATTGTCTATCAAATGTGATTAATACAAATAAATGGTGCCTCTTCAATACACGTCATTGAAAATGTGCTTATAACTTGAATACTACTAAACACTGTCCAAAAGACACAGCCCAAAAAGGGTAAAAAAAAGTCTCTAGGTGACTCCTGTAGGAATTGAGCACTGGAATGAAGGCGCCGCTCTCCTGCGCCCAGGGGGCCAATTCCAGCAGCAGGAGCGAGTGGCAGACTGGGGATGTGAGGTGAAGTGCAGGTCACAGGCTGGCACAGGCAAACCAACCCAAAGCCAGCTGGAAACACTCTGCCTGAACGCCTGCTTTGCCTTGGAGCTCGCCTGTCTGGGAGCAGGGCATGCCTGGGCCTCCCTTCCCAGGCACTGCCCATCACTGAGCCACACCTTTGCTGCCAGGACCTTGGCAGGAAGGTCCCAACCCCGCCACCCCAGCCAGGCTGGGCAGGACAGACCCGGCAGAGCTGTTCCCATCACACTGAGATGCCCGTGAGACTCCCAGGCCCTACAGGCCACCACCCAGGGGAGGCAGAGGTCCCTGGGCAGCAGCAGCAGCCTCTGGGAGATGGCAGAGCCCACCTCCCCTGCAGCCATGAGTGCTTCTGATGGCCAACAGGAACTTTAAGACGTGACCATGTACATGCAGCTGCTCCAGAACAGCCTCAAGCCACTGCTGCTTGAAGGATCCATATGCAAAGCCACGGTGGTGTTGGCATCTAGGACTTGGCAGATCCCTCTCTTGAGTGATCCCTGGTACCATGCCACATCCTGGCAGCTGGACAACACAATACCATGGACAGGAGCTCCTACACATGAAAGGGACAAGAGAGAAGTCTGCTTTAAAGCAAGGAGAGAAGACTGATGATTTTCCCCAAATCCCTTTAAGTAGGGCCTGTAATAACCTACATTCCATTTCAGAAACATTTCTCCTACTTCACTGATGGAGTCAGGACTGTAACAGCAACAAGGCTTTGATTAACACTCCCAGAGCCACAGCCTTCGACCCTGTCCTGTGCAAGGAAGCTCATTGACCACTGAAGACGTGTGACAGGGACAGGCAGAGGTGGCAGTGACAGGAGTGGCTGCTCCCAGGGGCCCTGGTACGGACACAGACACGAGCAGGACTGCACTCCCCACAGGCTCACACTTCCACGCTCTGCCCAGTGCACGTCTCATGTCCCACACGAACTCTGGGGCACCCTGGTAAGCCAAAGCACTTTGCCTGAGGACACCCCAAGCCAAGCCCCCGAGCAGGAAACCCACCAGGAGCAGCCCTCACCCGCTCAGAGACAAGGGTACTGCCAGGGCAGCCCCTCCTGCCTGCTCACACTGCAGAGCAAGGAGCCCGTGCACAGAGCTGCCCTTCCAGAGGGACAGAAATCCAGTCTGGCTGCACAGAGAGAGCAGATAGTGCTGGAGCTGGCAGCAATTAGCATCAGGAATTATGGACAATGTGCAGAAAGAGTGAGACTGGCTTCTCATGGGATTGCAGAGGTTCAATTACTTTTATCAGCTGCTGGAATACCAGGACCTCCATCTCCCTTCTACCCAAATGAGAGCTCCAAGGACCATTATCTTGCTACAGGTACAAACATTGAACTGGTGTTCAGCTAAAACATGGGTTTGGACATGGTTTCAAATTCCCTTCAGTCAGGCATGCAGCACAGGAGCAAAACCACCTCAAAACCCACACACCAGCTTCCAGTTTAAACTCCTTCAGTGAATGATGACATGAAAAAAAAATGTCATTTGATAAAAATAACCTTTCACAAATGTCCATGGCAAAATGCACAGAAAGTATTTCTGTCTATTAAAAGATCCCAAACCGAGTCAGTGTAAGCCACTGGAATTACATTCTTGCTAGAAGAGTTGTTACAAGAGAAGAGCCAAGACAGTGTAAGACCTTAATACAGATAAAACCTTAAACAAATACTTCAACATCAACATTTCAGGGAGTAATTTAGGTACTGCAATGTGAAGCAAGTCTTATCTGCTCTGCTGGATGTAACAGAAAATAATCCATGAATAATCCAAGTCATACATTTCAGAAGCAAGCAATGCAATCTTTGCTTCTCGTTGCTGCAATAAATGAGACTGAAACAATGCCCGGGTGAAGGAATGCATGAGGGGACAGTCGTGTCTGGGTTGGAACAGGCAGGGCATTACACCTCAGGCCGTGGGCACTGCTGGAGCACGGGGAGGGGATGCAGCAGGACATCACCAGGACCCTGCAAGGGCTCCATGGCAGGTGGGCTCACCCACACTGACCCCAGCCCCACACACACGAGGAGCCTGCTGCCCCCAGCCCCTCCCTCCCAAGCTTGCTGCAGCTGTGTGGTGAGCAGAAAACTGATGATAGAGCAGCAAGGGGTCCTGGGGGCAAGGCTGCCTGCAGGGCAAGCAGGACCTCAGCAAGGGAGGTGGCAGAGGCCAGTTTGTTATGCTGATGGGACAGAGCACACAGGTCCCTGGCCCCAAGCTCTGCCATTGGGCTGGACAGGCACAGACCTCGCTCAGCACATTGCCCAGCTTGTCACAACCTACACGACAGGCTGTGGACAAAGGATATGCAGCACATCAATAAAAACTCATGGATTTAAAAGAAAAAAGGATTACACCACATATATGTAAAAGGACTTAAGAAATCCACCTTAAGAGGAACCTTACAGAACTTGAGGAATCTCCCCTGTAAGAAGGGCATGTAAACAAAGACATCAGTAGATGTAGTGTTTTGACCCTGGTGGAGGCTGTCATCCAAACAAGAAGGGGAACCTTCCACTGAGGGACATGTGGCAGCCAGTCCCATGGGGAGGGGACAGGCATGCCAGAGGGAAGAATGTACAGCACTCTGGGGAACAGGAAAACTGCCCCTCCAACCCACACAAAGGGGCCTGTCAAAGCATGCTCAGAGAGGGCAGGATGACACTGGATCTAACATCACCCCTAGAGATAACGGAGGCTTAATTACACCACTACGATAAGGGTCTGAGCACATTAGGAAATGCTTCCCAGGAGTTGGAACAGGGGCATCCTGACAGCATCATGGCCATCCAGGTGTGTGGACATAACTCTCCCATGGCACTGCTTCCACAGGACAAGCTGGCCAGCAGCTGCTGCCCAGGGATTTCTTCTGTTGTTTAGTAGAGCATTTCAGAAGAAAGTAGTGAAACAGGACAGGCCAGAGGTTGCCTTAGGTATGGACAAAGCAAAACTCTTCACAGACACAGCAACAAAAACTGCAGGTTACATTTCAAACTTCCTGCTGCTGGAATGCAAAAAGGAAATCTATTACACAGACGTGCACAGAGACACACAGGTACCTTTCTGTCCGTCACTAATGCTAGTCCCTCCTATACTGGCTGAGTATATACCTGAGAAACAACATTAGTGTTGAAATATTGCCCTTTAGAAAGCTTGGAAATGGAGGGGAGCAGGGACAGAGAGTTGAGAGCAGAAAGAAGCGACAGTCTCTCCAGTTTCCTTCGCATCCTCCACAGCTCAGAACAAGGCCATACACCAGTGTGGACACAGCCCACTCAGAACAAGACCAAAGGAATATCAGTTCACAGCTCTACAAAGCACACCAGTGTCAGTACAACTGCGGGCAGGTCCCAACCCTCACATCTGAAGAAAGTTGTTGCACTTTCGACAGAGACTCCTGTACAAGTGCTATGGGACAGCTGCATTCGTGTTCAGCAATGACTCCAGCTAGGCTACTTGCACCAGTGCTGGCTGCCTGTGGCTATTTGGTTTGATGGCAGAATCAAAGGCGCTTTAACAACTTGCAGTTAACTTCTCCTCAAAACATACATTAGGCACATGAACAAAAATCAAGAGCTCAGAATAAATTAGCTTCTCAGCAGAAGAAAAGACACCTGGATTGCAGCATTTCACTGAGGTTCCAGAGAAGGCCGTACAGACACCTGCATGCTGGAAGGTAACTTTTTCAGCGGCTTGTCAGCAGACTGCTTGCCACTGGAAGGAGGAGACTGGACTCTGGGATCTAGCTGGGAAGACTTGGACTTGCGACTGGATAGCAGAGAATGTTTGTTGGATGTGGCATCTTTTGAGACAAGTTTTTCTTTTGTAGTAATGTTGGCATTGGTTTGAGAGGCTGGTGGGACACCACCTTTCTCCGGTTTGTCCTCCAGCACATTTTTACTGCCTGACTTGGAACTGACACTCCCTGTCTTTTTTGAAAGCATCGTTGTCTTCCCCAGGTCTGCCGACCTCCGTGTCTCCTTCTGCCTTAAGGCTGATTTAAAGAAAGACAAACCCTTCTCTTCTGACTTGCTGTCCCTCTTCAGCCCAGAGCGCGCGGCGGCGCTCGGGGAGCGCAGGTTGGCCATGGAGGAGCTGCGCACGTGCTTGCTGTCCACTGCCCTGCTGTCACTCCTGGAGTGGCTGATCCGTGGGGAGCTCGTCCTGGAGCCGCTGGTGACGCTCGTTTTATCCGAGCCCAGGCTGACCTTGGAGCCCTCCCTGCTGAGGCTGCGCTCCGAAGTCCGGCTCTTCCCAGAGGAAGAGCCCTTAGTCAATGAGCCTGATGGGGTTTTCTTGGCAGCCGTGGAGGATGGAGAAGAACCTGACTTCTGCTTCTGTGCAGCTGAAGGGACAGATGCCTCCAGGGGCTTTGTGCTGTGCTCCTTCCTGGCCTGTGTGGGAGCAGGAGACCCGTGTCGCCCGCTGACCCTAGAGGAGTCTGCCTTACTTCTAGACCGGGAAGCTTTCTGAGAGCTCTTCAGTGGAGGAGAAGAGTGAGAGACTTTGGTCTCTTGGGTAGCTAAGACTGTCCTTCCCTTCCTCAAACTTTTGTCGGGCTCAGAAGCTCCTTTGGAGCTGTGACCCTTCTTAGGGGTGTCATGTGCCTTCTCTGCAGCCAGCCCCGTCCCAGCTGGGGCTTTCACCTCCTTCACGGGAGAGCTGTCCACAGAATCGCTCTGGTCAACAAAGGCGATTTGATTGTTGTTATCAAAAGGGTCCAGAGCAGGGTGACTCCTGTCTGGCTGCACAGAGCTTTTCCCATAGCCATCTGAAAGGTCTGAGCTCGATGTCCTTACAACGGACTCTTCCCTGAACGCCCCTTCCATGACAGCCAAAGGGGCTCTGCGAGCTGTCCTGTGCTCTCGCCGACTGCTGTCACAGGGCTCCAAGTAGCTGCTAGAGAGGTTCCTCAGGCTGCCAAAGCATGAGGTGGAAACTTTGTCATCAGCAGCTTCCCCAATCTTCTCCAGAGTGGAAGCAGAGGTATGTACTGGGGAATCTCCAGAGAAGCGTGATGGGGAGTTGGAGCGGAACTGCAGCTTTGCAGAGAGCGACCACGAGGGCCTGACACCATTTTCACTCACTGCCAGCGGGCTGGTGACAGAGGATCTGGATGACAAGCTCTGACGCTGGACACTCCTTACAAATGGTCGAGTTGAAAATCCTCCTGCAGAGAAAGCAAGTGACAGTCTCAATGGGAAAGCCAAGGCTGCAGCTGGCTTACCCCACCCATCCACATTTCCCCACGAGAGCCAAGCAGCCCACCCACACCTCACTATGTGTCTCTCCATGCAGGCTGCAGGCACAGCTTCTTGCACAGAAGCTGAATGAGGAATCCAACAACTGTTACGTGCTAGGGGTCACCCAGGAGCAGCTTTCTGAAGCCTCTAACTGATAACCCAGATTCTTTTCTCATCCCTGTGCACCAGATCAAACACAAGGTTCGCACCTCAGAAGTCCTTGAAACTGGCAAGATCACCAGCTAGGATTATGATTCTGTATTAAAGAATATTTCCCAGAGCATTCTATGAAAGGCAAAGTAGGATTCCTACTTCTAGATCAAGTGATGTAATTGTATTTAGAAACACAAAATGTAAGTATTTTAGAAGTGTGACTTCCATGGTCAGACCTGACAGCTGTCACAGCACTGCTGCAGGGACATCTCCACACCAGCTTCCAATGCTCTGACTGACCCATGAAGCTCTGCATTTTCAGAAGTTACAAGACAATGTGTGGAGGAACCAGGCAAAGCCAGGAACTGAACAGTAACTTTCATACATGGGTGAGTTTTCATCTCCCTCCCTGAGACTATCCATAGCACAGCAGCAGGTAATCAGTACCTATGCTAAATCTGTCAGGATTGTGTCAGCCACCCTGCTAAGGTGATGCAGTGAGACCCAGAGAGAACACTAGCACAAGAAGTTCCTGACTGAGAGGTTTTGTTGATGGCATTTGCTCTCTTTGAAAGGCTTAAGGTTCCTGCCTGTTCTCCTCCTCCTTTCCTATGAGACGGAAGCCCATCTGTGCTCCCACCGAGCCAGCTCCTGCCTCTCTCAGCTGGATAACCATCCCTTGCAACCACAGATGTTGCAGCTGTTTCAGTAAGGATCTTGGCCCAGCGTGTCCCCAGGAGAGATACACACCATCATCTTCGCTGCGCTCCCCGGTGAGCTCCACGGACTCGGAGAGCGAGGCGAGCGAGGTGCGGCGCGAGGAGGCGGCCGAGGCCACGCTGGGCTGCTTGCTGCCCGGGAGCCGGCTGACCCAGTGCTCGCACAGCGACGAGCTGGTGGAGCCTGCGGGACACACACACACACACACACACAGGTCAGCAGGGCTGGGCAGCCCTGGGTCAGGCACTGCTGCACTGCTCTGGGTCACACCTCACAGCCTGCGGGACACACACACAGGTCAGCAGGGCTAGGCAGCCCTGGGTCAGGCACTGCTGCACTGCCCTGGGTCACACCTCACAGCCTGAGGGACACACACACATCAACAGAGCTGGGCAGCCCTGGGTCAGGCACTGCTGCACTGCCCTGGGCCACACCTCACAGCCTGAGGGCTCACACACACACACACAGGTCAGCAGGGCTGGACAGCCCTGGGTCAGGCACTGCTGCACTGCTCTGGGTCACACCTCACAGCCTGCAGGACACACACACACATCAACAGAGCCGGGCAGCCACGGGTCGGGCACTGCTGCACTGCTCTGGGCCACACCTCACAGCCTGTGGGACACACACACATCAACAGAGCCGGGCAGCCCTGGGTCAGGTACTGCTGCACTGCTCTGGGTCACACCTCACAGCCTGAGGGACACACACACATCAACAGAGCCGGGCAGCCCTGGGTCGGGCACTGCTGCACTGCTCTGGGTCACACCTCACAGCCTGAGGGACACACACACAGGTCAGCAGGGCTGGACAGCCCCGGGTCAGGCACTGCTGCACTGCCCTGGGTCACACCTGAGCCCGGAGCTGGCCCTTGCAGCCCGCGGGACACACACACACACACACATCAACAGAGCTGGGCAGCCCCGGGTCAGGCACTGCTGCACTGCTCTGGGTCACACCTCACAGCCTGCAGGACACACACACATCAACAGAGCTGGGCAGCCCTGGGTCAGGTACTGCTGCCCTGCTCTGGGCCACACCTCACAGCCTGAGGGACACACACACATCAACAGAGCCGGGCAGCCCTGGGTCAGGCACTGCTGCCCTGCTCTGGCTCACACCTGAGCCTGGAGCTGGCCCTCACAGCCTGAGGGACACACACACAGGTCAGCAGAGCTGGACAGCCCTGGGTCAGGCACTGCTGCACTGCTCTGGCTCACACCTGAGCCTGGAGCTGGCCCTCGCAGCCCCAGCACCTAGACACTGGCACAGGAATGGGGCTGTACTCTTGTGGAGCATTTATGGTCAGAACTGCACTTGTCCCAGTGTGCTGTGAACACCAGCATGCAGGCACTGGCATTTCAGTTGCCACCCCAAGGCCAAAAAAATCCTTTTTTTCCAGGGCAGGTCACCAAGCCTGCACCTGCCCACAGCTCACCCTGGATTCCACCAACACAGGCACTATGGACACCTCGGGACTGAGAGTGCTGCCACAGGGAAGGAGTGAGCCACGATTTGATGTCCTGCACAAGGGCAGCTCTGAGCAGTCACCCGTTGGGGCATAGGGGCTCCCCCACGGCCCTGCCAAAACTGCCTTAGGAGAAGAGCTGGAAAGTTCCCATGGCCTCTGACACCCAGCCACAGACTCAGACAAACCTCGCTGAGTTCTGGGACACAAGAATGGGGGTTTAAGCAGACCTGGGTGGAAAATTCCCCAGAAGGACAAACTACCAAGGAAGACAAGTTAGAGGCACCCCTGGACGGGGCCAGCAGGGCTTACCTGCCACCGAGCTGTTGGCAGACCACGAGGGGATCGCTGTGCGCCGCTGGTAGAACAAGATGTAAGCGGTCTGCTTGCAGACTTCACTTTCAGAAAGCTGCTGAACTTCACTGTCATCGAAGCAGTACCACTGGCCATCAACAGAATTCTTGCAATATGCTAAGGAGTAATACATTCCAGTAAGACTCTCTCACTCCTACTGCTCTCAGGTTTGCTGCATGACATTTAACATAAGGTTCTCTGCTATGATGGACTCGGACAATGCGAGGAACAGATGGATTCTTGCATCATCTTCCAGTCTGACTGGCAAGACAGAAGCCTGAGGCTGCCAGAACATAATAAACAGCTTCCATTTCAGGACTTTCTTTGTCCACCATTACCACTTAGAACAGAATATCATTTGGGGTGGCTTCATTCCCTTCACCCTCTGTAACTTGTGACACTGCTTCCATCAGTGACTCCCTTTCTGACTCCATTCAGGAATATAACCAGCATCTTTGTGAAAGGCTCCCCCCAGACAGCACAGCAGGACACTTGCCTGTATAATGTCCCCCTTGCATGGTGCCATGGTGGTTGCAGACAGCATACAGGTCATAGATGTAGTCCTCAGGATCTCTGCCGAGGCCATAAGGTTTCCTCCAAGGTGACCAGTGTGATGGCAAGCTCCAGCTGCTCTGGCTGCGTTTCACAACGTGAGGAGTCATGTCCAAGCCACTCAAGGGAAATTTAACCATGTTCTGAAGTTTCATCCTTCGGTCTCCTTCCTGTGGACAGAGAAGAGCATGAGCTGCAGAGGCCAAGGCCACCATGGCTGGGAAACCCCAGGTGAGGAACACATAGGGCAGAATGGCTGTTTCCAAAGAGGAGAGTCTACTCACTTCACTCAGCAGTCCTCCAGCAACACTACAGGCATCCTTACCTGTCTAAACCTTTTGAGATGTATGATGAGAACATCAGGTAAGGTCCAGAGGCTCAGTGTGATGCTACCCTGCTGCAGCTGCTTACAGTGTGGGCATCGCCATGCATCATCTGGGGCAAGCTACAAGAACAGGCAGGAGTGGGTATTGCTTTGCAAATTCCAAGGCAGCTTCCACCACACCACTGCTCCCCTGCTGCCCCAAGCCCTGTGCAGACACTGACTCCTCTGCCTCATCTCCCTCCAGCACTTATCAAGCTCACTGGAAATGCAGGGTTCCCAATGATTTTTTCAAAGTAACAAGCAGGGATATGTGTGTCTCATTCAGGAGGCACTTTCTGCTGCAAGGCAGAATTCAGCCCATGCTGCTGTGCAGAGGACCTTTCTGCAGCTTATAAACACCACTGCTTTGGAAGTGGAGAAGAAGGAAAAGGAAAAACCAAGGCAAAAAGCAGGCAGGCTTGGCAGCCTGAAGAGTATTCTCACAAGAAAACCAGCAGTAGAAAAAAAGCAGGGATAAAAAAGCAGAAAAAAAAATCAGAACAGAAAAAAGAAAGGTGTACTTTGGATGCCCCCTGACACCTCACTGCCCTCTGGGAACCCCCTCCTTCCTCTGTAGTCCCAACAGCACAGAGTTACACACTGAAGACTCCCCCTGTCCCCCAAGCCTCCCTCCACAGCCCAGTGCTCAGAGAACTCAGCAGCCACAGAGATTTAAACTGCCGAACAACTCTTCTCCCACCTCTGAAAGAACCAACTAGAGAGGTTCCCAAACTATCACAGTCCAGTCCTGGGTCCAAAGACTAGCTCCAGACAAGCCCTTTGTGCAGCAGATTGGAGACTACCAAAGGAATTCAGATGGCTTCCATGGGCCAGGCAGGGGCCAGGTCAGAGCCCCCTCTAGCCTGCCTGTGCACAGCATCACTCCTGTCCCTCCAGCCTCACACAAAGAGCAGAGCCAGAGCAGGGGAGCAGCCACCTCCCTGCAGAACTGAAGCCATGAAGCCACACTGTCCTAACCCTTTATAATGTTCACAATATTTCACAGAGGAAATTGCCAAGGAGAGGACTAAGTTCTTGTATCAACATTTGGGCAGCAAAGAAGCCAGCAGCAGGACCTCCCACAAGCTTCTCACTGCAGAGGAGCTCCGTTAGCAGCACAGATAACTAATCTTGTGCTCCAAATCTATTCTCCTGTCACAAGGAATCAATGTTTGCACAACAGAGCTGCCTGCAGTGAGGGAGTTCCTGCAGCGTGTGAACAAGCCAGAGCACACAGGCTGTATCTACCTGTTCCTCTTTGGTGTACAGTTGGAAACACTGAGATAAAGTGCAGATCTGAGGTTGATGATGAAGCTCTCTCTGCTGGCGGACGCTTTCAGAGTCTGGAATATATTCCTCTTCTGTATTCACAAACAAGCTGCATCAAGGAGACACCACATTTACCAGCACATCCCCCTGCTCCCCAGGCTGCCCCTGCAGACAGGGGCTGGGCACAGGTGGAGTTTGAGTGGTCTCATGTTTGCTGAAGGATGCACAGTTCACACAAGCAAGCTGCAAGCAGCAATTGTGAGGTGAACACAGTTTAAGGTTTTTTATTTCATACTTACTAATCTTTAGTTTCTTTGTCCCATTCTACCACTAATTTCACATGAGCAGTTCCCCCCTGTCCGCATGACTTCAATGCCCTGCAGGAAGGAACAGAAATAAGTCAGGCCATCTTTCAATCCAAAGTCTACATTATCTTCTACAGGCATGTAATTTCTCTCCACAAGCCCTTCACCCTTCCTTCACTCCCACAGCTGAGGTTTGCAAAGGAGTAAAAGGAATTCACACAGCAAAACACTTGGCAAAGCTGGGAAATGCCTTCACCCAAGTATGTGAGTTCTGTAAGGCAACATACACCTGTTACAGAACCAGCATTTATCAACATTTCAAAGAGCAACAGACACAAGAAAAAAATTAAAAATAGTGAGAGTAATATTTTCATTCTGTTCTCCATTTCCAGGGAGGACAGACTCCAGATGGCATGACACACAACTGAGGTATTCTCACACAGCCTCCTAAGGATGCTCCCTCATTTCCCTGCTCCTCAGGCCCCTGCAGTGCATGCCACACATCCTCACCAGGACTGTTCATCTCTGCATGGTAAACACGGAGCTCCCAGCTAACACAGCTCTCTCCACTCCTGGGAAGCACCCAGCACTGAGGGCCAGCTCACCTTTCCACTGTTGGGTGGCAGAGGGGTCGCTCCTCCTGAGGTAGCAAGTATGTTATGCCCACAACACTGACCACTCGCAAGCTGAATGGGCAAACCTGCAACAGAAGAACAGAGACCTCCTCAGTGCCTCCAACCCAACCTGCCACTGGCTGACAAAGACTTCACCCTAGAACACGTCTGACATGACAAAGCAAATGTACAAGGTCTCGAAGATGCCTGTGCCAGTGAGCTGACAGAGGGCTGAGTACAGCAATGGAACCTGTGCATGCAACAGCTCACATTAGTCTCACCTGCAAGCAGGCTGCAGGCCGCAGGAAATACTGCATCTTCTCCAGTATTTCCTTCTGCAGAATATCCCAAGCAATTGTTTTTTCCAAGTGCAACACAAAGGGCAAGCCAAACCTATGGGAAGGAGAAGCATTTGAGGAACAATTACAATATTATCCTGTTCAGCAATCGGAACCCCAAACTACATGGGAGAACTTCATGTGAAGTTTTGTGAAGCTTCAGGGGCTGAGGCAGTTCTCAGCCTCCAGGTGATACAAATGCCTTTGCCCTGGTTGCTTCTCACCTTGCTCCTTCCTCCCATTTTCACTCCAGTTAAAAATTCCTACCCATAAGCGGGTCTGGTCAAACATGCTGCTCTCAAACCAGACAAAGGTGGTGTATCCTCTCAACTGGGCTGCATTTGTTTCTTTGCAGTAATGCAATACTTGAAGTTCACCAAAATTAGAAATATTTTGCTGCAGCCATTAATGCTTTTTGATCAACATGTTCTTTAGCACCTGATGCTGCTCCTTCACCTGGAGCCTGTACTACAGGAAAGTAAAATCCAGGTCAGTTTAGGAAGCAGCCAGAAGAGTAACTCCAGCCATGCTGCTGCCAGTCACCTTTTGCTCTGCTGTCCAGTGCACGCTCTGTTACACACCAGCAAGACAATCTTGTCATTTGCTGCTAGTTTAGGAGAGGACTGTTCCAGTTTTCCAGACTTCACCATTCCTTGAGAGTAAGCTATTGTTCGGGAGTGCTCAGTGCCACATTTCAAGTTATTCAGGTTATTGTTCACATGTATTCCTGAAAAATTAGGAGAAAGGAAACATTTCATGATGTCATTTGCCTTTAGTGCCCGGATGCCCCCCTCAAGAAGCCCTCCTTGGGCTGCAGAGGAGCATGTCAGTATGGAATCAGGAGCATTTTCATCACTTGGACAAGGGCTTCAAAGAGCAACTTCCTTTCACAGTGACTGTTTCTTTAGAGAAGGACATTATACGCAAGTGCTCCCCATCTGATTTTTCACAGCAGGTTGTACAAGCACTCCAGCTTTTACTGCCCGCAAGAAACCAAGAACCAAGAACCCAACTTGCTACTTTCAATAATAAAATTTGCCTTTGATTACACTCCATCTGCCCAGGATACCATGATTACGTGTCACTGAGGGGCCATGCAGAGGCCAAGGAGTTTGAGCTTGGAAAGAGAAAGTGTTTGTTCATTCCTGAGACTGTTTATTCATCGCTAGCAATCTGATTTTAAATAACACGATTTCAATGGCTTCATCTGGTCCCTAGCAGGCCTTTAAATTAAGCCTGACAAGAGATTTCCCATTAAGCCAGCCTGGCCTGCAGCATCAGCCCCGAGAAGAGGCAGAAAGGAGTGTACAACACTGCTTGATAACCTCCCAGCTGACAACACTATTAAATCTTCCGGAATGAGCCCGGACAAAGTCAGAGCTGAAATCAATACACCAGAACATCAACAGCTTGTGGGACTCATTCTTTTCCCACACAAGCCTCCCTCACTAGTCACCCGAGGTGGGAATTAAGAGTTATTGACTCACCTCTCTGACTGAGGATGCCCTCAGGCCTGAAGATCTCTGGGGTCTCAAAGGCAAAAATGCAGTCGCTCTCGTGGATGGTGTCCAAGTCATCGGTGTCACAGAAGGAGCGATGGAACCCATCGTAGTACATCTCTGTCAGCACGATCTGCAGGCACCAGGAGCAAACCAGAACCCATCAAACCACCCACGGTTTCAGCTGAGTGCCCCATCTCTCTGCTGGGATTTTCCTGCTAAGGGATGGCACTCCTCAAGACACCCTGTCATCAGCCAGCAGCAAGGAACAGGGAAAAGGACAGCCATAAATGAGAAGCTGAGGTAAAAGCAACATATGGAGAGGTTTTGGTGGAATTCAACAGCTTTCCTGAAGCTCTTCCTACAAAGGAATTTGCTGTAGGTGCCCTGTGGTTGCCTCACTGCCAGCATGCACACCATGGGGTCAGGCAGGTCTGCACAGGGCACTGAGGGCTATTCCAACATCACTAGGATCCAAACAGCCAATGCACAGGGAAAAGCATGATCCAGATTTCCACCACTGCCTCGCTTCCCTGTTCAACTGTGGGCAGCCAATTTCGATTCCTATATATCCAGCAAGGGACAAAAGCCTCCCCTCTCCCTCCCAGTGCAGGGAGGGCACCCAGGTGAGCAGCACAGCTCCTTACCTGCTCCGTGGGTATCTTGGTTTCCGAGGACACGGCCTCCCGCAGCCTGGCCACGGTTCCGGAGATGGGCACGGCCACGCCGATGCGCATGCAGTGCGAGCACTTGCCCTGGTACACCACGGTGACATAGAGAGGCCTGTGGGGAGCATGGCAGCACTGCCAGGCTGGGCTCAGCACCTCTGGGCACTGCCCGAGCAGCCTCAGCCCAGCCTGGGCACATCCAGGCTGCCCACCAGGTACAGGGCCCTCCTGAGCGCCCGCATCCACCTCACTGCAGCTGCACTCGGCTGCAGCCCCACAAGGGTGTTTGATTACAGACTCCTTCCCTACTGGATGGCCTGGTGTTACCTGCTCCCATAAGGAGAACGTCTCAAAGAGGCCCACAAAGCTAAAACCAAAACTGTCTAGGAGAAGGCAGTCAGTTTTCCAGCAGGGATCCAGTAAGGAAGCTGGGGACAGTCAGTATAAGACAGCACCCTGAAGTGTTGGAGACTGCTACTGGGAACAGGCTGCCTCAATCCTGCCTCCAACAGCAGCAGCAGCACTACTGGGGACAGAAGAGGGAGGGGACACCTTCCCTGGACAGCCCACTCAGCCTCCACCCAGTGGTGAAGCAGAGATTTCCAGATTAAATGTGAGAGAAATGTTTAATCTGCCCTATCATCACTCTGTTCCACTGCTTCTGGAACCTACACAAGTTTTTTGGATGCAAACACCAAGTGAAGGAGTTTGTTTACACCACAGGTAGTTTTGCTGTGCATCTCTATCTTCACTTTGAATGTTTTATCTGGACTTTTTTCCTCCCCTGAAGTTTTTTCTTTATTTGCATCATCTGTCTTTCAAAAAAGCAAAACATTTTGCAGGAAAGATTTTAACTTCGATTTTTGAAATTGGAGTTATCGGTGAGGCTGTTCTCAAAAAACAAAGTGTTTCATCCTTTTCTCTTTTTTAATTTTAAAACTTATTTAATTATAAATCAAGTGAAAAGCAAAATATTTTGGTTATGTGAAGCAAAGACTTTTTCTCGCAAAATTAATTCTATAGGAAGGATAGGCCTTTCAAGTAAAAGCCTCAATTTTCCATTTTACCTGCAAAGCAAAACCTTAAATCCCCATATGGTCCTATCCATCTTTTTTAATGACTTATCAGAGATTTTGCTGGTGTTGTCTTCCTGCAGCAGCAAGTGAAGGAACAGGACATGCAGGGGAAAGAGCCAAGAGCTCGGGACACTCCGTACCGGGTGTGCGGCAGAGGGATCGGCAGCGAGATGCACAGGAAGGGGTCAAAGGTGTTGCTCTGCTTCTGGCAATGAGGGCACGTCAGGGAGGACCTGGGACAACATGGATAACAGGGCACAGTTACACCTCACCTCACTGGGAAAGCATAAACCATCAAACCCCATATTCACCATCAGCAGATCCAACAGGAAACCCTGGAAGGGTTTTGTCTTTGGAGAGAGGTGAAGTTACAGGACAGGGACAGAGACAGCCAGCACTGGGCAGCACTAACTCACTCTCAGGATGCACAGGAACAGGTGTAGTGGTACATATTGCAGATTTACACAGAATTTTGTGTAATTTTGTAGCAGTGAAATTCTCTTTTTCCTCTAGAGCAAGGTCTTAGTTCAGCAGGAATTCAGAAACAGTTGTTAACACAGTGACACCAGTCCCAACTGTACTGGGAGCCAATGTCAGTTTAGAATTATACTGGGGTCACCCATACATTCAACTAATTTACAAAATACCATACCTGTACTGGGCTTGAAAGAGTTCCTGCACAAAAGTGCTACTGATGGGAAAGGCTGGGCCCTCAAGCAGCACATCATCCTCCAGAGGTGGCTGAAAGAGAGAACAAACTCTTGAGGCACACTCAGGGTGGGGGGAGCACCAAGCAGGTGGCTCCAGAACCCCGGTCAAATTCTGCTTTCCTTAGCCAAAAAATCACTGGAAAAATGCCACAAGCATTTTTAACTACCAAGCACACTCTGCTCCAAGGGGTGGGCATGCAGGAAGGTGAGGTGGGCAGGGCAGCCCCAGGAAGGGCACAGGGCTCATACCAGACAGGGTCTGGCAGCCCCCAGTAACACCTCCTGGCTATTGCAGAGCCATTCAAACACAACTGCCCCAGGGAGCACTCAGCAGGAATTAGTGGAACATTCCCAGGGCAGAAACATACATTATTTTAACCCAAGCTTCTGTTCCATCTGAATTACTGAAGTTGAGAAGCCAATGGGGAGAAGTACTTTAAAAGGAAATCCCGTGTGCAAGTCAGACTCCCAGAGTGTCCCCCAGCAGCATCCCTTACCTTGAGTGGAGGCATGCCACTGGAATTCACCACATTGTTCAGATCCTCGTGGACTCTGTCGAGCAGCCAAAGCAGGAACTCCTGGGCATCGTGCTGGGCGTTGCCGCGGTACTGCATCGCGTTCTTGGACACGATGTTCTGTGGGGAGAAGAGACACTGCAGCAACAGCCACTGCACAGCTGGGGCCACTGCAGCAGCCCTTCCCTGCCTCGCAGCACCTGACACTGCTGCCCTCACGAAACCTTCTGTTTGCTCCAACTGAAGCAAAACAACAATTTAGTCTCCTAATGCCCACACACTCTGTCCTGCTCACTGCAGTTTTGGTGGGGTCACACATTTCCCAAAACCTTGATGCAGATGATCAATGCTAATCTAGGTCTACAGTTCCAGGACTCAGCCAGGATCAGAACATCTAAATCACAGATGCTTCTACAATCATCATCATGCAGGTAGAGCAAAATTACTTCCCATCAGCACCCTGTCAAGCACAGGAGTACAGGCCACCATGGAATTTTTTCTGCTGGGTATCCAGACTCCACTATGCGTAACTCACTCATCCTAAACACTATCTTCTATTGCCATCCCAGCCAGGGAGGTGCAGCTTTCCTGGACACAAGGAACCCTGGCATCCCAGAGCCAGTGCTCCCAGTGCTGGAGCAGCACCCATCCCATGCTGTGCTGCACCTACATCCTTGGCACACCTGTGGAGAGAAAAACTGTTCACACAGGACTCTGACTTACAGAGCGGGGTCCCCAGGAGGGACAGTGGCAGGGCAGAGGCCAGACAGCACCTGCAGGGCAGGAATGGGTGGGAAGGCTGCAGAGCCCAGCCTTCAGAGCAGGCTGCACATGTGCCTCGTGCCAGAGCTCCTCCACTCCTCTAATCAGAGTTTGCAACAGATTTGAGAAATGAGGTTGGGCTGCTCGCTTTATCCCTCTGAAAATGGGGTCACCAGAGAGGGGGGTGGTGATGAAAGAGGCAGGAAAGGACTGATAAACATACACCCTCTATGCTCTATAATCTGTCCACTGTCTCAAGGCTGCAAAATAATGGGAAACAGAAATAATCTGCTCTCATTACATATGTGCAGACCTTCTGACAGCAGATTTACTGCCCTTGCTGTGCAGGGACCAGCACTCTCCCACATAAAATATGTCCACACAACTTGAACCATGGGAGTGGTTCCTAGCCAACACTCTGTGCCACACTGGTGGGACCCCAGCACCTCTGAAAAGGGGACATGGAGGGGTTCTGTACAGAAACATGAGGACTTTGGGAATCCAGGCTAGTACTTGTTCTTGCCTCTTCCCCAGAGGCACATCACTCCAGTCCAGAGCCTCCCTGGCTTTTGCTGATGTGTGTCCCTGGTGTGCAGTGTGCCCAGAGAGCAGCCAGCCTGTACCAATCCCAAGCACAGGGAGCCCAGGGATGCACAAGAGTCACGTGCCCTGCTCTGTATCTGTGCCACTGCTTGGCTCAGCAGCATCTCCATGATAATTGCTCTGGTTCCTCAGCACTCTAGCAGCCTGAGTGGGCTAAGGATAAAGAGCTGCCTGTGGAGACACATCACAAGATGTTGGAAGTGATTCAGGAAGCACTACAAAATATCAGATGCAACTTCCTCACGAGAGGCTCCGCTAAACAAACACTCCAGCACCAGCAGCGTGTTCCCAGCGCCACTCAGAGCTCCTGCCAGCACTGCTGCAGGTGGGTCCATGACTGCTGAAACCCCTGTGCCTGCTGCTGCAGGGGATGCTGTGTGTGTGCCCTCCTCCCAGCCCCTGTCAGGGGCTACAGGTGGGTCCATGACTGCTGAAACCCCTGTGCCTGCTGCTGCAGGGGATGCTGTGTGTGTGCCCTCCTCCCAGCCCCTATCAGGGGCTACAGGTGGGTCCGTGACTGCTGAAACCCCCGTGGCTGCTGCTCCAGGGGATGCTGAGTGTGTGCCCTCCTCCCAGCCCCTATCAGGGGCTACAGGTGGGTCCATGACTGCTGAAACCCCCGTGCCTGCTGCTCCAGGGGATGCTGTGTGTGTGTGCCCTCCTCCCAGCCCCCTGCCAGGTTTAAGAATGACTCTGGAACAATTCTGGTGCTGCTGGTTCAGCTGTGAGGCACCAGGAGTGGGCATGGACTCTGACACTGCCTCCCAACACCTTCCACAATGCACAGCACCTCCAGCCCTTTGCTCAGCTCAGCCCTTGTGGGCCTGGCAGGAGGTGGGTGGATCCTCCATTCCACCAGATGTGCATGCAGTGGTACACAGACACCCTGAGTGAAGTGGCTCCATCCAAAGAGATAAGGGGGAAAAGCAAAATTTCCCATCAACCCCACTTATGTACCCCTAAGGCAAGCACCCTACAACCATATCGGTCCCTGCCTGTCCATGAAGCAGATCTATAGCAAAGACACATTATCATTTTTACCAGGCCACTGAAAGCTTAATAATAATTCATCTACTGCTCCAAATAGATGCAATAAATAGATCAAAACAGAGCTGAACTACTGGCCTCTTCTTTGCTGCTATTATTGTTCCAGATCACAAAGACAACTAGAGGAAAAATGCCAATCTGCCACTTTCCAGTGTGGCCCTGCTAGGAAGCAAATGTGGAAGGATTTGCAGATACAAAGTCAGCTCAGTAGAGACCTGACCCAATGACACACATGAGCAGGAGAGAAAGGCTATTCTTTATCTTCTGTTCAACAATGAGTTATGCTCAAGCATGTTATTGCTCTTGTTCAAGCCCACAACCACAGTTTTGTGTTTGAGTAAGTTCTACAGCAGACAACCAGAGTTACCTGAATCGCCCTCTCTGCTCACACCCAGCCAGCTCTTCCCCCTCTCTGGAGATGATCTTTTCTGGGGAGAGCAGTACCCAGCCAGCAGCGTGGTTCAGGCCCCAGGGCTCAGGAAGGGAGCTCCTCCATTCAGGGGCAGAAGAGATCACTGTGGACTTGGCCTTAGCACAGGCAGCACACAGGGAGAAGGGAGCTTTGATGACAGGTCTGTCACAGCGGCCAGGGCAGGACAAAACGCTCCCTCCCTGCCCTCTGGGCAGCCAGAGGCACCAGGGCTCTGGAGGCAGCAGCCCACAGGACGTGGCAGCTCCATGGGCAGCCCATGTCCCCACACAGGACCCTGTGCAATGCAGAGGGGAACAAGCACAGCCCTTATGAGAATACTTCAGGAAGCAAAGCCATGAGGAGCACTACAGGCAGCAGCACAGCAGCACCAGAGGGATTCTCCACCACGTTTAACAAGCCCAGACAAGAAGCATCATTGCCCTGCCCCTGCCTAACACCTCTCATGCCAGCAGCTACTCTCACCCTCCCAGGCTGAAGCCTGTTAATCCTCATTAAGTACCTTCCTTCAGCCGTAAGGAGAGAGTGAAGTTTGCCCAGACGATGCTGTCCGGGGCTGCCGAGTGTGCACAGACACAGAGGCAGGATGTGGTGCTGCATTCCCCAGCTGGCACACTCCCCTCCAGGCCCTTCCCAGGAGGGCAGCCCTTGCTGCCAGGAGGCACTGCCAGGAGCCAGTGCTGGCTGCCGGGAGAATTCACCCTTACAAAGAGCAGAAATCCCAAATTGCTCAGCAAGAACTTGTTTTCCTGCTACTCTAGTAGAGCAACTGGTGGGATTGAAAAGAATAAGGGATTGAGGAGCAGGAGAATGCCACAAACGTGAAGCAGCCCAGTAAAGGACTATCAGTAAATGCTGGCACAGAGGGCAGACAAGTGGGTCCATGACTGCTGAATCCCGTGGCTGCTGCTCCAGGGAATGCCGTGTGTGTGCCCCCCTCCCAGCCCCTGTCAGGGAGGAGGAAGGCTGGGCTCAGCAGCCAAGGAGCTCATGCTCCAGCTGCACACCTCTCCTGCTCTCTCCAGGCTCTGCTTCAGGTCCCAAGTTGGACACAGAAACTGAGATGGGGGATCCCATCATTACCACTCTGAGAAGCTTCCCCTTGCACGTTATAACAAACATTCACTTCAGTGACACAGCCGTATGCAAACAAGTTCATTAGCAGTGCTTTGCTGAGATGGCAGGGAGAATGGGTTCACTCCAATGAAGTGTGGCCATGTACAAAGCACAGGGCAGCACAGATCCAATTAAGTTGCCTGGGAACATGCATCCCCCTCACGGCTTCCACGGGCTGCCGGGCACCACACATTCTCATACTTTCACCATGTGTCATTTTGCACAAGCAGCATGGAAATAAAAACCTGGCAGCTCAGAAGACAAAAAAACACATGTTGGCAATGATGTACATTTGCCCTCCAGCCTCACAGAGGGTCCTGCCAGCCCTGGCAGTGGAGCAGGAGTGCTGTTCCACACTGGGGTCTCCTCTCCTGCCCCAGCCAACCCTCTGCTCTGGAAAGGAGCACCCACAGCACATTTCTGCTGGCCCCTCCAGCAGAACCCCCTCAGCAAACCACATTCGACCTCTGGACTCTGCTGCTCAGCCTCGGCTCCCCAGCCTTGTGCTGCATTCACTCAGATCAGAGCTTGAAGCACGACACAGAAATCCCCAGAAAGCATTTGGATTTCACAGGTAAGTCAGACAGCTGCCTTAAGGCAACCAGATCTGCTGCAGGAAACCCTTCCCAAGGGGTTTAGGAGTATGTGTGTAGAAAGAGAGCAAAGCAATTGTAAGGAAAAATAGGTAAGAAAATAAGCAAAACAAAACAAACCATACATGCAATAATGGACTTACATCTTATTGATAATGGACATTTTAAAAAAAGGTGTAAAGTGGCAGGACTGCCAGACCTTTGTGATCCCAGTGAACCACATTTCTGTGATGTCAAGAACCATCAGAAAAATGATGTAGAAAATTTGTAACTTGCTTTTTGTTCTAAGGAAAGTGTTTCAACTCCAACTCCCAGAGCAGCCCTAGGACAAATCTCCTCAGTTTGATGCCACCACTGGAAGCACCTGGACTGAACTGCAACAAGCACTTCAACATCCCATATTACCTAACCCACTCAAAGCCTCTTTAGAGCAACACAGAAACTGAAGCACCAGGAACCAACAGCCAAGCTACCAGAAGGGAAGCGCGAAGGGTCTCACATTTATTCTTTCAAGTCCCTTTCTTCCATCCCTCTGTGCAGAGGGAGGACAGTTTGCTCTCTGCAGAAATATCTTAGGAATAAGCAGTTGACCCCATCCAGAATAAAATAACTGATCCTGTGCTAGGCAGAGAGCAAGACAATTAAATACAATCCCAGAGATCACATCTGACACATCACTGGCCCCATTAGCAAGGCACAAGGGCTCTGGTGAGCAGAAGGGCCTGGGGCTGACAGCTCCATGAGCAGGACCAAAGGCTCCTGGCAGCCACACTGCCCCAGCAGCCCCCAGTGAGAGCTGCTCTCACTGCACCTTCAGCAGCAGGCAAAGATCTGACCATGACAACACTTGCAGGAGCTCCTTCATAACTCAGGAGTTAGTGATTAACTCCCAGACAAGTGCCCAACAGACTGCTTGTCCCAAAGTGAGATATTTGCGCCAAGTGCATTCCCAAAACACCTTGAAATGAGTTTCAAACAGCTACCGGGAAATCTCACACCAAGAATAAGTTTATAAATAAATAAATAAATAAGGAAGCAGCACTTTTAACCTGGCACAATAATCCCTGCTCTACCAACAGGGATTCATTCTGGGTTCAGATCCAATTCTGACAAGCCAACCCAAGTGAGTTATGGTGACTGTGCTGTATTTGCTGAACATGCTGCAGGTCACAGCCAAGGCCATCTTCTTGTAGGATGAGAAATGCAATCCCAGCTCTGGCGTGCAAAGGGTCTTGTTAAACATGGGCATGCTTCAGTGGTCAACTGCCCTAGAGCCTCAGAGAAAGTCTCAAAACAGTAAGAGCCTCATCATTCACAGAAGGCCCACACTCCACAGAAGGCAGAGGATTTGCATAAGAACATAATTTTTCAAGCCCAATTAGTTTAAATCAAAATCCTTCTCACTGCCGACCCCCACCATCACCTCGGAGTGCTGCAATACAAAGGGCACTCTGTCCTCCCTGTCTGACACTCCCAGGAGCTCTGCAGGCAGGACAGGACAGCTCCCTGCACAAAAACAAGCCCAAAACCCTGCTTCTACAATAGATGTTTGTCACCATTGTCACCCCATCACAAAGGGGAAAGAGGAAGCACGAGCTGCAATATCGGCCCCTGTTATGAAAGCAGCAGCTTTGTTTGGGCAGGAAAACAAAACCCAGTGAGCAATCGGAAGAGAAGGCTTGTGAAAGCAAACAGCAAAGGAGCACAGCACCAGTGGGAAAGTCACCCTCAGGAGAGACACCCAGCAACTGCCAGCCCTGCCACGGTGCTCCCGTTCTGTTCCCAACCAGGAGCCAAACCCCTTCTGCTTCCACCTCCCAGTCCAGTCCTTAGGGACCTTTTCCTACCACCTCAGCCTCCTTTTCCCTGCTCTGTCAGCACCCCTGACCTCCCCTCCCTGTGCACAAGCTCTCTGCCAGGCTCTCCCCTCAACCTGCACCTATAGATGAACCATTTATCACAAACCAGTTGTTCAAACTGCATTTTGCTTAGCTTCAGCAGCTACATCATTCAGAGACGCATGACATGGGTTATTTCCTGAAGACCAACTTAAAAAGAGAGTAAACACTACCAAGGAAAACCAGCTGAGGGTAAAAAGCATGCCAAAAACCATCCCTTCAAAGGCCCCTGTCCACAAGGACTCTAAGACATGCTTCCTTGAAAATAATTTCCTCTCTTCCAAGACAGAAGCCTACAGATATAAGAATGAGCAAAAAAATATGTATCATCCTTTGTCCTAAAAGACATTTAGTAGCTGCAGAGAAGTATTTAGGAACTGGCAAGTGCCTTTGCCCCATTACATTTGGTGCCAAAAGAAGAAAAATAGCAAACAAAACAACACATGGATTTGAAAGCATGCTGAATAAAGAGCCTTTTGCCTATCAAATAAATATTACTGTCAGTGGCTATTACTGTTGGAGGGAAAGCCCAAAATTACTCTGTGAAAACACTTTACACCCTTAAAAACAATTACATCAAGGCAGATCAGGAATGTTCCACCCTCTAAGCAGAACAAGCTGGGGGGATGTTCTCCTTGTTTTGGGGAGAAGCAGCAGTTTCCAGAATGAAAACACTGATCTTTGCCTTTCTCCAATCTGAGCCCATTGTTTACATCTGTAAATGATCTGTGCAAATCTGCTGTTGAGAAAAAGTTTAATTAAAAACTGAATTTAATAGCAGGTTCAGGCAACTTAACTGTCTTTAGAAACATTAATTTCATATTAGAAGTAATTGACCTCTATAAGGGAACAGCACTTGACACAATGGCACAGTCCTGCAGCAGGACCCAGGCTGCTGGCACTGTGCGGCGCTGAACTGGATCCACTGGGACCACATTCCCTCCAGCAAGAGGCTTTCAAAACCTCCAGGGAGCTGGCAGGTGGGAGATGGATGGGCTCCAGCTCCATCCCAAGCAGAACAGCACTGGCTTACCGTCAGCAGCGCCTGCAAACAGCAAAGTTCTGCTCTCAGCACCCGTGGAACATGGCCTTAATTTAATCCCTGGCCCTGATGCTCTTCCTCCTGCTGTCACTCGTGTCCCAGCCCTGCTCCCACAGCCTGCCTGAACAGCAGAGCCTGGCCTAGAAAGAGAGCTGCTCCCTCTTCTATCAGCTCCACTGCCAGAAGACAATCCTGCTTTCACAACCGTTTTTCCTGCTATTACTCAGGAGAAATCCACAATTCCTTCTCCTGCCACACCACCTCAGGAGCAGGGACAGGTCAAGGTGAGTGGCCCATGGTGCTGCCAAGACTGGCCTCAGAGAGTGATCAGCTCTCCAAGCATTCCCCCAAAAAACCTCTCCTGAAAAGACCAGAGGCACACGTGGTCCTTGTGGCAGGCATCCTGAGAGAAGGCAAACAGCCAGGGTCTCCAGGGAATGCCCCTGCAGGACAGGTGGGTGCAGCTGCCTCAAAGGGCACAGGAGAAGCAAAGACAAGAGAGGGAAGAGGTGCTGGCCATGCAAATGACTGAGGGTGCCAAAGGCCACTGCCACCTCAGAGAACCCTCTAGGACATCCCAGCATCCAGCAGCGCCAAGGGAAAGCTGACTTTGGGACCCAGTCTCTACCTGCTGTGCACCCCAGCTGAACTGCACGCAGAGGGCCCAAGACTGTGTCAATATCCTCACTGTGTTCATGCATTTGAACATCTCCTCTACAAGTCACTGTGCAAGAAAAATACCCCTAAAAGTGGTAGAGACACTCCCCAAAGTGTCTCTAAGTTGATGGTGTGGAGGCTACCACCCACCCTCGGATCCTCTGACACAGCCAGAGACTCTTCTGTGCCAGGAATAATACTTCTCCCTGTCCAGGAGGCAAAGCAGGCCTAGGGCACTTTTAAAATGGTTGTGCCCGATTTCATCCAAAGCCACGGCAGGGAGTTTTTACACCACAGCACAAGGACCAAGCCCTGTGCTCCAACAGCTCCTGGGGCAGGCGCAAGGCCCGGGCAGGGCAGGGGCTGTTGGATGGAACCAACACCGCGGGGCCAAACACCAGCGAGTCCGAGCAAGAGAGGACAAGCAGGTACTCCTGAAACACACTCCCCAAATCAGCCCCAATCACGAGCTCTTGGGTTAGCAGACTTCAAGGCACACCTCTCAACAGCCTCCTTCCTTGCACGCTCACAACTCCCAAACAACAGTTAGTTGCAACTTTCCTAATGGTAGCCCAGTAGAGGAATGAAACGGTAAAATGGGTATTTTCACCGATAAAAACCATCCAGCATCAGCCAGCATCAAACACCATGAGCAAAGAGCACGGCGGCAGCACCTGTCCCATCCCCAGGGCGCTGCCGTGGGTGCCCAGCGCTGTCACCGGAGCGGGGTCTGCTGCCCTGGGAGGATGCTGGGAGCAGGAGCAGCACTCCAGGGCCACGGGCACACAGGACCAGAGGGCTCATCCCACGGCGCGGCCGCTCGCACCAGCGGCAAGATACCCACCACAGCTGGAGACCGGGCAGCCTGCGGCGCCGGTGTGATGGTGACCCGTGGTGCCACGTTCGGACCTGCTGTGAGCCACGGCAGCACCGGCTGAGCCCCGAGCCCCGCCGCCTCCGCACCGCGGGCACGGGCCCTCCGGGGCTGCTCCCGGCGGCCTGGCGCTCGCTCCTCCCGCCTCGACGGGACGAGGCCCCGGCTCACCTTGAAGTCGCGGCTGTGCTGCGGGGTGTACTCGAGCGTCCAGAGCGCCCGCACCAGCTGCGCCAGCTGCTCCGTGACCTCGCCGGGCGCGGGCGGCGGCCCGTCGGCGGGGGGCGGCCCGCCGCGGAACTGCTCCAGCGCCAGGAACTCGGCGAAGAGCTCGGTGTTGCTGAGGCACTGCAGGATGGCGTTCATGAAGCAGGTGTTGCCGTGGTTGCGCAGCCCCGCCACGCCGGGCACGGCCTCGGAGCCGCCGGCGGGGCGCGGCGGGGGCTCGGGGCTGCGCGGCGGGCCCGGCGGGAAGCAGCTGCCCAGGCCGCCCGTCGCCTGCGGCGGGGGCAGGCGCGGGGCGAGCGCGCCGCGGGTCTCGGGCTCGCTGCTGTAGTGCGAGAGCGTGGAGAGGGTCTTCAGCACGCGGCTCATGAACCCGCCGAGCGACCGCCCGGACGGCGCTGGGGCCGGGGCGGCGGTCGGGGCCGAGCCCGCGCCGCCGCCCGCCGCCCTCCCGCGGAAAAGCCGCTTGCTGAAGGAGCGCTTCTCCTTGGCGCTGCCGGCCGGCCCGGGGCCGCTCACCCGCGACATGGCGGCGCGGCGCAGCGCGCATCCCCGCCCGGCGCTCGGCCCGCTCAGCCCGCCCGGCGCTCGGCCCGCAGCTCAGCCCGGCGGCCGCCGCATCCCGCCGGGCCGGGTCGGGCCGCGGCTCCGCCGCTTCACGGCGCCGCCATGCAGCGGGCGGGGCGGGGCGCGCCGCCACGTGACCGCGCCGCCACCTTGGCGACGGGCAGACGCTGCCGCAGCGCCGCCATCTTCGGTGCTGGCGCGGGGCGGGCCCGGGAGGGCGGGGCCGGGAGGGCGGGGCCGGGCCCCACCCCCGTGGCCGCGCCCCCGGTCCCGGCGCTGGTCCCGCCCCCAGCCCCGCCCTTCGCGGGCCCCGCGCGCCTCACCGGGGGCTCGGGCAGCGCTCCCGGGACCCGCCCCGCTCGGGCCCGTTAGTCCGGGCACCCCGCGCAGCCCCGGCCGCCGCCGTGGGGCGGCGCTGCGCGGCCGCGGAGCGGAGCGGGGCGGGCGGGGCGGGGCGGGGCGGTCCGGGGCGGGGCGGCGGCGGCGGGGGTAGGTACCGGGGCGGCCGCCCGCCGGCCCATCGGCAGCGGCGCCGGGACTGCGAGAGGAGCATGGCGCCACCGGGCCCCGAGGGCGGCCGAGGTGAGGCGCGGCGAGCGCGATCCCCCCCCCGGGACGACCGTCCCGGGGATCAAACACCGGGAAGGGGCGGGATGGCGGGTGACGGCTCCCGGCGGGACGGGAGCCTGCGGTCGCGGTGTGGCGGGGCACCGGGCGGGCGCCGATCCCCCGGCCGCCCCCTCAGTGCCTGGTCCGCCCGCAGCGGCCGCCGCGGCTCCCGGTAAGAAGATCACGGCGCGGCTGAAGCGGACGCTGCCGGTGCGCGGCCCGCAGGCGCCCACGCTGAGCGAGCTGATGCGCTGGTACTGCCTCAACACCAACACGCACGGCTGCCGCCGCATCGTGGTGTCCCGCGGCCGCCTGCGCCGCCTGCTCTGGATCGTGCTGACCCTCAGCGCCGTGGGGCTCATCCTCTGGCAGTGCGCGGAGCTCCTCATGAACTACTACAGCGCCTCGGTCTCCGTCACCGTCCAGTTCCAGAAGCTGCCCTTCCCCGCCGTCACCATCTGCAACATCAACCCGTACAAGTAAGGCTTGGGGGCTGGCGGGAGGATGGCGGCTCCGCACGGCGCTCCTTGTCAGCACTTTCCCTACCGTGGCTTTTCCCTGTAGGGCACCTGGGGTGCCACATCCCCCTCTGTGCTGCGTGGCTTACACTCTCACCTCTCACTGCTGCCTCGGCTCGGTTCGTGCTGCTTTCTGCTCCTGACAGTCCCTGTCAGCTCTTTGGCTCTCTTCGAATTCCCTTCTTCCCCGGACCGAAGTTCCAGGATTTCAAACAGCATCATCTCCTAAAAAGTGGAAAGGGCAGATCTCTCACTCCTCCCTTGCTTCTTTCTTTCCGTATGGGATATTTTGACATGATTCATAAGCAATACTTTTCCTCCTGTCAAATCATACTTTACGTTGCTCTCTGTTCTGCTGCCAGATTCCCACCCCGGTCCCCATGGGGATGCAGCTCTTTAATGACGCTTCATTAGACAGATGAAGTCTTATTCCACATGCTCTGCCTCCTCAGACTTCCTAACATAAGGAGCTTGAGAGTCTTGGGAGAACTTTCTCTGTAGTTCAGTCTGCTCTGCTTCCTGGGGTCCCTGCTCCAAGATCTCTCCATGGATGTAGCTCTGTCTACCCTCACTGATGTGAGAACCTGGTGGGAGACCACAGGGAATTCTGTCTCAAGCCCCAGCATCCACAGTGCAGCAGGCAGAGCACTGCAGCTGGGCAGTGAGGTGGGATGGGATGTCAGTGTCACGTTGTTTCCCGTGCAGGTACAGTGCCATGAAAGAATATTTATATGAATTGGACAAAGAGACAAAAAAAGCTTTGGAAACTTTCTATGGATTTTCTGAGGGCAAGTCCAAGGTGCGCCGGTCAGTGGATGACTGGAACAGCACAGGGAGCGACTTCTTTGAACAGATCCCTCTGCTGAAGGTCGAGGACTTCTCCAGGACAGCCACTGAACTGCACAGTGGGCAGAAGAGGAAAATAGAGGGAAGTGTCTTTCACAAGGACTCCTCCATCGTGAACTCGGGCGATTCCAACGACATCATTGGCTTTCAGCTGGTGAGTGTCACTGTGCCCTGGCCAGCAAGGTCCCTGTGGGGCAGCAAGGGGCTGTGTTGGGGTCAGTGTCCCTCCTGCAGCTTTTATTGCCTGCTCAGGTGGCTTTGCACAGTGGTGAAGAGCACCCTGCCTGCTCTTCTGCCTAAGCCTCCATGGCTGCTGCAGATCCACCTCCAGAGAAGTACCTTCCTGAAGTCTTCCCAAATAGTCAGTGCCATCTCTGACCTTTCTTTTGCTCCTGAAATATTTGGTCATATCACTTAGCCCTGCATAAAAGGTCTTTGATGCCCACTGGTAACTTCATATATGGTTATTTCTGTGGAAGAGAAACACTATCGGATGTACAATCCTTAATTTATACCTGCCTTGTAGAATCCCTGATTTCAGTCCATCTGAATGCTTTTTCCCCTCTGTGCTTGTCAGTGTGACGCAAACAACAGCAGCGAGTGTGCCCTGTACACGTTCAGCTCGGGGGTTAACGCCATCCAGGAGTGGTACAAGCTGCATTACATGAACATCATGGCACAAATTCCCCTGGAGATTAAAGAAAAATTGAGTTATTCTGCCGAGGACCTTCTACTGACATGTTTCTTTGATGGCCTATCTTGTGACAAAAGGTCAGTGCACAAAAAATTCCTGCCATCTTAACAGCTTATTTCCAAGTCCATAATATGTAGGAATATTTGGTATTTGCTGAATTCCAGCAGGAGCCACTGATGGTTCTGTGAATCTGCCTCCCCCATGCTATTAACCCCCATTCCCACATTAAAACTTCCTCGAGTTTCCATCTCCTGAAATATTGAACTAGATCATACTGCATGTAGTTTCAAGTCTCAGAAAGAGACCCACATTTTTCAGCAAAATAAACTTCTTGAAAAGAAGTAATAAACCCCCCATGCAGTCCTGGTCTGTCTCTGTCAAAACCAAAGTCCAAACGTGCTGCCTTTTTCCCACAGACTGAACTACAGGGAACAATGTCATGATATTTGATTTATTCCAGGCATTTCACTCGTTTCCATCACCCCCTCCACGGCAACTGCTACACCTTCAACAGCGGCGAGAGCGGGACCATCCTGAGCACCTCCACGGGCGGCAGCGAGTACGGTGAGTGCCCTTTGCCCACCCGGGGCCCTTTGCCCACCCGGGGCCCTTTGCCCACCCGGGCTGCTCCGGGGCCCTTTGCACACCTGAGGTTTTCCAGGGCACTTTGCACACCTGAGGTTTTCCAGGGCACTTTGCACACCTGTGGTGTTCCAGGGCTCCTTGCACACCTGAGGTTTTCCAGGGCACTTTGCACACCTGAGGTTTTCCAGGGTACTTTGCACACCTGTGGTGTTCCAGGGCTCCTTGCACACCTGAGGTTTTCCGGGGCTCTTTGCACACCTGTGGTGTTCCAGGGCTCCTTGCACACCTGAGGTTTTCCAGGGCTCTTTGCACACCTGTGGTGTCCCAGGGCGGTTTGCAGAGGAACTGTTTGATAACAAGTGGTGCAGCAAACTGGATCCTGCTGGAGCGTGAGCGATGTGTTGGCTGTAGATGTACAGGCTGATTGGGGAAATGCCTGTTTGAACTAGTGCAAACTCTTGCCTGAGAATACAGATAATATCATTGCATCACTAATGTTTTCCAGCTGAAATTACTGCTGCCCAGTTATATAACTTTTTAAAGTGACTTCCAGCCACGTTCTCAGCAGACGTTATTTGTTTGCTGTACTCAGTACCACAGAGGGATGTTACTGGCTGCAGGTGTCTTGGTCTGGCTGGGCAGGGGCTGTGCTTGGCTGTTACAGTTGCACTTAAGGCCAGATGAAACATGAAACAAACCTGCCCTCCCTGAGGAGAAATGTGGCTCTAGCTCCTGGTGTAACTTCTGCCTTGTCTCTGCGGATCAGGATTGCAGGTTGTTCTGTACATCGATGAAGCAGACTACAACCCCTTCCTGGTGACATCCACAGGAGCCAAGATCATGGTCCACGACCAAAACGAGTATCCCTTCATTGAAGACATTGGCACGGAAATTGAGACTGCAGCAGCCACCTCCATAGGGATGCACTTTGTGAGTGGCAACAATCTCCTTTTTGGGCGCACCTTTGCCTTGGTACAGCTGTAAATAAAAACTGATAGGGTGATTTCAGAGAGCCAGCAGTTCGAAGGCCTTTAAATACCTCCCACTCAGCAGCTGAAGTGCCCTGAAGGAAATCCTGTGACAGCACTTCTCTGAAAAATAGGCCGTGGGAAAATCAGGTCTTTCTAAACCAAACTGGCCTGGGATATTGTTTGCTCTCCCTTTTCTTCCTCCCCTTGGCTTTCCAGGGGATTGTTGGTTTTGTTTTCACAGCAAAATCCACAGCAACAGAAATGTATTGTCAAGTGACTTGACTGGCTTTAGCAGTGAGCAGGGAGTTTGATCCCACGAGGGTCCCCGGACAGAGGAGCCAGAGCTGGAGCTGTGGGTGCCCATGCTGGGGTCGGGTCCTTGGGAATAGTGGCAACACAACCCCTTGAAGTGTTTTGTGACTGTAAGCCTCACTTTGCTGGTTTTCTCTCTATCCCAGCAGTAAACCACTCCCCTGGGCAGCGGCTTTGCTTTTGCCAGCAGTGAGCAAAGGCGAGGAGAGCTGCAGCTCCTGCTTTCCCCATTTAGTGTAGTTCAGAGGAGGCATTTGGCCCGAGGGGATTCAGCGCAGCAGCAGCGAAAGCTATGCCAGGTCCCCTTTCATCTGGATGGGCTGTTAAGTGAGCACTTCAGCTCTGCCTTTCTTTCTGGTGGAGCACCAGCTATCCTGCTTATCTGGGTATGCCGAATATTGATAGGCTCTGCATTAGAAAAGGCAT